CAAATTTGTTCTGGAGCGGAGCTAATTCAGCCTTCGCTCTGGCCAATTCCGAAGAGTCCCCCTCCTTGGCGTGGTCGTCCCCTTCTAAGCAGCTAGCGACAAACTTTCTCTCTATTTCTTCCGCAGTGTCCATGATCTGTTGCATGGTGTGGTTGATTGCCAGTGGGGAGGACTGTTTCGACAATTCCACCCTCATTGTACGACTTCAAAGCCCATCGATGAACAAATCTCTCCCGACATTTTCGCCTTGTTCTGACTTAACAAACAACCTATAAAACCTCCTGCGATATTCAGCGACGGATTCGAGGGGCTTTCGGACTCGATTTTTAATCAAATCGGTTTAAGAAGTCTCTTTCAAAGGTGGGGAGATCTACCCAAACGTAAGCGGTAAACCAATGGTGCGCATCCCCTCCCAACCTGGTGGGGATATTGATCCTGGCTTCATCATTGTCGTATTGTTGTGCTCGCAGCTTGGCTAGCCATGCTCCGGCCAGATGATGTGCGGGGTCAAAGAGGTATAGATCAGGCGGGGTCCCCGGCGCGCATGCTCGAGGAGTTGGGGCCCCGCCAACATCTGGTGTCAGGTTGGCATTCATACTGGCGGCCTGCCGACCTGCCGATCTACTTCGGGTTATTATAGGGTCGCGGTGTGGCGTGTTTCTCTGCCTAGGACGCCCTTTGTTCGCCAGATCGTCTCTTATATCCTACCTGATTTGCAATCTCTGGGGTTGCCACATATCGGCTCAGATACCAACCTCACACCCAACGCGACTTACTGATCGGAGTGTGAGTGGGCCTGGAAGTGCGAAAGGGAGTGTGTCAGGGATTTTTGAAAAGTGGGGCTGGAGCCCTAGGTCGGAACTGAGATTTCCTATGGCAAGTTTCCGGGACGTGACTGCACGAGGGTAGGTGCGGACCGAAGTCTTGTTTTATGCTTGACCAAGCGGGGCTACTTCCTCCATTGGTTCCGACGTCTGGGTTGGACTTGTATGTGGTGGACTGTCAGGACGCTATGGCTATCCCGTTTGTTGATCACCTGTTGGCGCCGAACGTCGCAGGTCTAAGAGTCAGACGCGGCCAGTCTCAACCGAAGGATGTGTTCCCGTCGTTCCTCCTCCGAGCCAGTTCGCCGGATGAAGTCGTAGGCTCGATACTCATGATCCTGCAGGCACTCTGACCATGGGGGTTGGGGTCAATAGGGGGCCATTGCGAGCGAGGGGACAACGATGAAGGAGTAGTAGGGTAGGATGCAGTGATAGGGAGAAAAGTCGGTCCCTAAGATAATGATCCCGGGTTTCGGGGCGACGTGACACTTGTATGGGCTAGAGTAGCTGGGGAGATGGGGGATACGTCTTAAAGCCTGGTCGAGGTCCCACTCGCAAATACATTCGTTTCCACTTAAGTAAGGGAAGTCTAGGGGTTCCGCCCTCGGTCGCGCTGACGAGCGGGGCGTTCCAAAAATCCCCGGACTTCCTGATTTCTCAAACACTCGCGTTCAATGACACGAAAAGTGGTGTCGAAATTCATACTATAGGATGGACTGGCATTTAGACATTCGGGAAATTGGTCGAGTCCAGGTTTCATAGACACGCATGTAGGCAGCGATCATCCTTGGTCGGGCATACACGTGCATGCACGGGACCTGTCCTTCGATCAGATGGGTGAAAGTCAGTGGCTCACGGGATGGATTGTCCTATAGTGAGACGATCATGTAATCATCTAGTATGCGCAACTGATTCAAACACAGACAGAATCACACCTAACATTCAATGACATGCATCTAGTTCAGATACAAACAAAAGGGATCAAAGATCCTTATGCAACAATTCCTTAGCCAACCATCCCAGAGATCACACAAGGCTCGATGGACAGTAACCAATCAATCAGTTTGCCAATTCGAAAAGACGGAGGAGGGGAGTGGGGGAAAAGGACCACACATCAATCTCTTGAGAAAAAACAAACTTTAAGGAAAAATCCGAGATGCGGATCTAAAAAAAGGAAGCGCAACTTGCGCCGTACATCAAAATTATCTGGAGAATAGGAGAAGAACCAAAATTACTTGGAGGGATAGAAGAAGAACCTCACCACACACGTCATGTCTCTCTCTCTCTCTCTCTCTCTCTCTCTCTCTTTCTCTCTCTCTCTCTCTCTCTCTCTCTCTCTCTCTCTCTCTCTCTCTCTCTCTCTCTCTCT